TTCAGCGGACACAACATCTTTGTTTGTATGTGGTGCTGAGGATCGAACCCGGGCCGCACGCATGCCAGGCGAGCGTGCTACCACTTGAGCCACATCCCCAGCCCCACTGCTAATGAATTTCTTTCTCTGAGGATGGGGATCTGTCTGCCTCACTCACGGCTACATCATCTCCTGGCCCTGGGGTCAAGTTCAGAGCAGAAAACAAGACGCTTCTCAGATGAACAGCGGGTTGGCAGATGAATGAGTAAATGGATGGATGGGTAAGCAAAGTCGGAATGGCTCTGTTTACCTGCATCCCCCCATTTTCTATTACCTAGCTTCTGGAACCAGCTCTGGGTCTGACTTGTTAGTAGCTGCATGTGCCCATTGCCTCCTGTGGAGGCTCAATTAGAACCACTAAGCCCAAAGCAAGAACCATGTGTGGCTACAGAGCACTTGATATGCAGCTAGTGTGAATGAGGGACTGGATTTTATTTTCACTTAAAATCTGACACACAATGCAATTATGGAAGATTTTAGAATATTTAGAATAACATAGTATGTGGATCTATGTTTTTCAAATGTAAAAATTATAAAATCTAAATACAGGGGCTGGGGTTGTGGCTCAGAGGTAGAGAGATCACCTAGTGCATGTGAGGCCCTGGGTTCAATCCTTAGCACCACAGAAAAATAAATAAATAAAATAAAGGTATTGTATCCAACTACAACTAAAAATATATATGTGTGTATATATATATGTATTCTATTCATTAGAATACATATATAAATATACATACAGAAGTATATATACATATATTTTTAAAAGTGTAAACAAATCCAGTATTTCAATCGAAATTTGGCATCTTAATAGAGATGTGCTGAGGTGTAAAATACATCCTGAGTTTTCAAAACAGGTATGAAAAAGGAAGTGTTAAGCCAGTATGGTGGTTCACAGCTGTAATCCCAGTGACTCAGGAGGATGAGGCAAGGAGGATTGCAAGTTTGAGGCCAGTTTCAGCAACTTAACAAGACCCTGTTTCAAAATAAAAAATAAAAAGGGAATGGGGGCTGGGCACTGTGGCACACACCTGTAATCCCAGCGGCTCTGGAGGCTGAGGAAGGAGGATCACGAGTTCAGAGCCAGTCTCAGCAAAAGCGAGGCACCAAGCAACTCAGTGAGACCCTGTCTCTAAATAAAATTCAAAATAGGGCTGGGGATGGGGCTCAGTGGTTAAGTGCCCCTGAGTTGAATGCCTGGTACCAAAAAAAAAGAAGTGGATCTAGGTAGGCATCGTGACATGGGCATTGTCCCATGTGGGAGGCTGACTAGCACGTGACCGCATTTGTCTCCTCTTCTGATTGGTGTGTCGTCCTCTGGCACTCTGTGATCTGGTTGCCTAGGTAACTCAGATGTTAGGGTCAAGAGACTGTGTCTTCCCACATTCCCCTGGGTGGAGCTATGCTCACCTGTTCCTTTGTAATATTACCCTCTTGCCCTATTTAGGATAGAATGTTCCATGGAAACGCCCCTTGTGTGTCCCCTTCTCTTACTCTGCCTTTGGGTGTGGACTTCCTAGATGTCAGTCAACCTGCTGGCAGCAGACATCATGAAGCTAGACCCAGTCCCCTGAAATCTGACCCCTTGCCTTATTTGAATGGCTTCTACTCCATAAAAGGGGTCAGTATGTGCTGGCGCATGCACGCGCGCGCTCTCTCTCTCTCTCTATGCGGATCCTTAAGGTCAGAGGAGCCATCACAGTACTCCCCAAAGAAAAAGGTATTTCTGTCTCTTGTGTGGTTATTTCATGCGGCCCAGTTCCCCTGGAGTGACCCCTGAGTGTTTAAGTCACC